TAGGGTATGCAGGGTCTTGGGCTTTGTGCATAGATAGGAGCGAAGATAGGGAGTCAGTGCCCAGGTGAGTATGATGGCCCCGCCCTCAGGAAACTCACAGCTCTGGGGAGGGCAGGCAGCCCAGCAGCAGACAGGGAGCCCACGCTAGGCTGGCATGGCCCAGGATGAAAGTCTGTGAAGGAGAGCAAAGGAGAAAACAGCGCCCCAGATTCTACCCCATCTCACAACTCAGTGTCCATGTGAGTGTTTCTTCCTGTGTGCGATTCATCCTGGGGAGACCACTGGATCATATATTCTGTCTTTTTGCTCATTCTATTTGTTGCCGTTTTGCACCTTAATACGCAGACTTTATAATGTTCATTCCAAAAGACTGCATCACATTCCGTCCACTGATGGTGACGGTGGAACCAGCCCCCGGTGCTGGCGACGCAGGTGTTTTCAGTTGTTTGCTATGATGAGGAAGGAACATCCTGTGTGTCCCGGTTCTTCTCCAAACAATGTGGGATTGTTTCCTCGAAGCCGTTTCCCAAAAGTCGAATCACTGGATCCCAGAGTTCTTGCAACGTATCGTCACGAAGATGTTTAAACAGATCAAACACGTTATACCCCAAGTGGGGCTGTCCCTCGGGGCTCATTTCTTTGGTTGGATTCAGTTTTCGTTGGAGATGACCGCCGTTCCCGTATGGAGGTGGTCAGGAAGGGAGTTCCGACCCAAAGAACAAACCCAGCCCAACCCCATGTTCACCCAGAGCCGGGTGGTGCGGGTAGAGACAGGGCCTGAGAGGGATGCTGGACCTGGCTCATCCCCACCCCACCATTTCAGCCAGTGCCATCTTCCCGGAGGACCTGACGTCCTAGTCCAGACTCCGGTGTAGGTGGGAACACAGGAAGTTGATTTGAAAAGTGGACTGACAGAGATTTCCAAGGCAAAAATCCAGAGAGCCCCGGGACACCTGTGGTTAATTCATTCAGCATTTGTTAAGTACCTATTAGGCACCACACATGTTGATCGAAACAGATATGATCCCACCCATATGGATTAACTGACTCCAAGGGGAGGCCACCACGGGCCACATAACCCAAAGGTAAAATTACAGTGATTCGGAACCACAGCCAGGAGGGACTCCGAGAGCCCATAGCAGGGCGGTTTGGCTTGGTCCCAGAGGTCAGAGAAGGCTTGCAGAGGAGACCATGCTACTGCTTTAGGAGCTGCGTTACTGGGGGAAGAGATAAAGGCGGGAGGTGGGAGGATTGAGGGGAAATGATGCTGGTTAGAGGGAAAGGAGGCTTTACAGAGCCTTCAGGCCACAGATGAGAATTTGGGGCCCTTCCCCTAAGGACCTGAAGAAGCTATTAAAGGGCTCTGAGCTGGGGAAGAGGGACCAGACCAGATTTGTATTTCAGGGTCAGCTTTGCTGTCATTGCCTGGTGGAGAGTGGCTGGTAGAGGAACCAGAGGGAAATGGGGAACCCACATAGGGTTGAGCAGCCAGTCAACAGGTGTCTTGATAACTCATTGGGAGCCAGCTTCGTTCTCAGCACTTAGAGGGCTGCAGAGAGGCAGGCTGGACCCCTGGACCACACGGGCCCTCTGTCACAAGAGAGGCCTGTGGGGCATTGTGGCCAGGACCCAAGGTCAATCAGTTGGCATCCTTACTTCACCACAGCGCAGCCAGGAATGCAAAGGCCAAAGAATGGCATCCAAACAGCCAATGCCTGGCTCAGATTCGGCCTTGCTCAGCTAAAGCCTCAGCACTTTACCACTTAACCCTTACTTTACATACACTTCTAACTCAGCCTACTACTGAGCTGAAATAGTCCATCAGAAAGGGCAGGACTGCGGTCGGTAGAAATGCGACCCAGCAAGGCAGGGGAAAAAGGCCGGAAACCAACATCAGAACACAAAAGGCATGTTTGTTCAGGGCCATTTAGGAAAGCACAGCTCAGGGTGGGGTGGGAGCAGGGGCTGGCATGGCCAGAACTGTGAGGAGCCGGCAGGGCCAAAAGCAAGGACTGAGGCAGCAGGGTAGGAGGAATCAGGTGAATGCAGGAACAGGGGCCTCACGTAGAAAGGTCAGGGTGGTCTCCAGAGACCAAACTCATGGCTCAGAGCCACCAAACGTTAATATGGATGACGTCTGAAGGATCACAGCACCCAGGATAGACAAGCAGGTCTGAAGGGTGGGCAGGGGCTGCTTCTACAGGAGGCTGCTGAAACTTCCAGACCCAGAGGTGAGGGAGGCCGGCCTGTGGAGGGCTGTAGGATTCAGTTTGGAGGCCTGCTGGTGCTAAGGCTGCCATGAGCAGGGTGGATCAAGCAGGACAGGAGGAAACCGTCCTCTTTTCCCCTTCCTTCTCCCCTCCATCCTTTCCTCCCTCCTCCTTTCCCTCCTTCCTTCCCCACATTGACCTTCCATGAGCCTTCAGGGACCAAGCATCTGTTTAGCCTTCTCTCCATAAAGGAACCCCCAGGGTTTTGGCTGGGAGGCCAGAATATCTGGTGCCTGGAAAAGAGGAAAGGGCAGAGTCTTGGATGGGGGGTGACTTGCAGAGGGGACTCTTTGACCAGTCAGCCCCCCTGGATCCTGGGTAGTGACCTCCTACTCACACAAACTCCATTCTGCTAACCCTCACCAGCCCTCTGAGGTGGGTGGGCAGGGATTGGTGGCTTCATCCTGTATGTGGGAAACTGAGGCATAAGGCACCTTATGTCTAAGCCTTAGTGTTCCTCATCTGTAAAATGGGAAAAATGGAACAAACCCTCTCCCAAGGTTGTTGCAATGAGGATTAAGAGAGATGCATGGCATAAATGTTGGGGCCGGGATGGGGCAGCTTCAACGTGAAAGAGTCAGGATTTATTTCAGGCCTCCCGCTTCCAAGCCTGATACGGTGATCATTCTTCCATCCTGCCTTACTTATGAGAGGCACCCAAAAAGTTAGACAAATCATCCCCCTTAACCCACCCCAGTAGGGCCAGGGATCAGCCATGGGTTCTCTGACCCCCAGCCCAGTATTCTTTCCAGCATTGCCCAGTTAAAGCCCACTGCCCTCAGCTGTACCAGAAGATGCTGCTGTCCTTGCCTCACCCAGACCTATTGTCCAAGGAAGTGGGAATATCAGGTGATGTTGAAGGTGTGGAAACGAACTGAGAAGCCTCTAACCCAGGTCTAAGCCAGACCCCGCAGGCCCTGCTCCAGCCTGCAGTTCAAGAGGAGCAGGTGGAGGCGGAGGCTGTCCTTTGACAGACATCTAGCAGGCTCATGCTGAGCACCCAGTGTGTGCAGGATGAACTCGCCAGCTCTGCCCTCCAGGAGCAAGGGGAGGAAGGGGTCTTGATCACCTGCTGGGTACAGTATAGGGTCATCAGTCAGGGTGCTGTGTACAGGCCCCATCCACCTTTGGAGCAACCAGGGTTGGGGAAGTGGGTGTTTCTGAGGGAGGGCTGGCCCTGTCTGCTGCACACACTACTACATCCAGGCAGATGGTGACATCAGCCGCATGCAAGGGCTGGGAGGGCTTCCTGGAGGAATGGGCTTAACTGAGCACTCTTCCAGCAAGCATGCTTTGAGAGTCTGCCATGTGCTCCATCTGAGCACTGGTTTTGACACAGGGCCCACGCGGACTACGCATGGAACCGGAGGCCTTGTCTGCAGGCACAGGAGCCTGCTGCTAGCGGAGAGCCTTGAGGGTTCCAAGTGGGGCGGGAGGGATGATGGCATTTCTGGCAGTTTTGTCTGATTGTCTGATAGTGGCAGGTGAAGTGGGATGGTGCAGGCATGGGGAGACTGAGGCAGACAGGCCAGTGGGGACATCTGGGAGGGCAGAGGCTGGACTAGGGCTTGGCAATGAGGAAGAGGAACCACGTGTGAGGAGACACAGATATGTGCAGGGGGGCCGGGCGCCTTGGCTCATGCCTGCAATCCCAGCACTTTAGGAAGCTGAGGCAGGCAGATCACCTGAGGTCAGGAGTTCAAGACCAGCCTGGCCAACATGGTGAAACCCCGTCTCTACTAAAAATATAAAAATTAGCTGAGCGTGGTGGTGCACACCTGTAATATCAGCTACTCAGGAGGCTGAGGCAGGAGAATCACTTGAACCCAGGTGGCAGAGGTTGTGGTGAGCCAAGATCATGCCATTGCTCTCCAGCCTGGGTGACAGAGTGAAACTCTGTCTCAAAAAAAAAAAAAAAAAGTGCAGAGGTCACTGACAGAGCAGGGGCATTTGAGGGCACCTCTGGGTCAGCAGTCCTGCAGCTCTCCCATGCCATCTGAGTCCCCCTTTGCACCACTGGCCTTCTCGGTGACCATCTGGGCAGCCAGTGTGAATTGAACACTTACTTGGTGTCGGCCACTGGGTTACTGTCCCTGAGCTAGAGATGCCACCCTGTCCTGGACGGATGCAGGAGGGCTGCTCTGGCTTCTGGGCCAGGCCCTCCTCCCCAGTTCCACCCCAGCTGGCCGGCCACACCCTCCCCATGGCCCGGGGAACCACCACCCTTGGGCTGCAAGTCAGAAGTGACCCTACAGGGCACCTTGTCCATCCAGCCCCCATCCCCCACCCCTCTGTGCAGTGCCCTCCAGGGGCCTCCAGGTTCTGTTTATGTCACTCCAAAGGGACAGGAAGCTCGTTACCACCCAGCAGCCCTTCCAGCTCTGCTCTAAGGGCCCAAACACTGGCCCGCCCTTAGCTGTGGCTCTGGCGCCTCCTGCATCCATAGGCCCTGCCTTCCTGGGTCCTGAAGGCTTTGAGCCGTGGCTGCAGGAGGAGGCAGCCCAGATCAAATCCAGTCTGGATGCATCCTGGGCCCACAGAAGCCTCCCAGATGAGGTCGGAGGGCTGAGCCTATGGCAGTGCGAACGGAGTGTTCATTCTTGAGGTGTTTGGGAAGCGCCCCCTCATCTCCCACCTGGCACCCTGACTGGGGCACTGGCCCTTTAAAGCCAATCAAGGGCTGGCTTTTGGGGGGAAACATCCTAGATTTCTGCCATCTACTTACAAGCCTGGGCCAGGGAGGGGGGCCACCTCAGTCCCCGACAGGGGCATTGGAAGGGCAGGTGGAGCCAGTGGCATTGATTGAAGTAACCTGATCCCGTGAGGGAGGCGGCCACAGTGACAGCAGCGCAACGGCCAGCTGGGAGGAAGCTGCCTGCAGCTGAGGGCTGCGTTGGGAAGAGCTGGGGCTGGGACCCGGGTCGGCAGCTGCAGCCTCCTCTCCTGGCCTATCTATTTTTAATGAGCTCCCCAGGCTTCTGCAGCGGGCAGGACGCAGAAAGACAGGCCCAGGCGGTGGAGGCCAGAGGCCCCCAGCCCTGCCCTGAGCCCTGGCCCCCGCACCCTTCTGGGCATGAGAGGGCAGCCCTGGGGCCCCGCAGCCCCCCTGCCGGGCAGGGCTCTCCATGCAGCTGGTGCTGAAGATGGATTCGAGCCCAGACAATGACAGCTGGTTGGAGGATCAATGGGAGCGCTGGTAGGGGCTACCGGGGCTGGCAGGGGTGGAGACCAAGCTGGGGTGAGCTCCATCGAGCTCAGGGTCTCTATTTGGTCTGATTGAGGCGAGCGGCAGGGAGTCTAGGCCTCCTAGGTTCCCCTGGGGGCTAAGCCACCATCTCTCCTGGGTGACCTTGGACTCGTGGGTTTCCCTTGCTCTGTGCCTCAATTTCTTGGACTTATCTGGGAAAAGCCTCATACATTCTTCCCAACTTCCCAAATGTTCTACCCTCCAGCAAGCCAGGCAGAGTGCCCAGGACTAGAGGTGAGCAAGAGACAGGCTGCCTTGCAGTGGCTAGCCCAGCTCTGCATTCTGAGGTGGGGACTCAGGGCTGGCCTAGGGAGAGGGGGGTTCTGGTGAAGCTGGTTAGTGTTGTAGTGCCCCGGTGCTCTGAGCTGTCTCCTGAGCTTATAACACCTCTGATTCCACCTGGGGCTTTTCCTGACCCCATGTGTGCAGCCTCCTGTTCAGGGTCCTTACGATGGAAAAGGAGAAGATTTTGTGGTTGAAGAGATGAGACCACCAAGTGCACAGCATGAGGCTGTAGTCCTTTCTGGAATAGGCTGAAACTACCCACACCAGATTTTCCTTCGCTTGTTCCCTGGGCTCAAGGGGCATGAGTCTTCCTGAGCTGGGGCGTGGGGCCCTCCTTTGAGGCTGCTGCCAGCACCTCGGGTCTTGCTACTGCAGAGGTTGCACTGGGAGCTCTCCTACTCCAGGCTTGCTGCTCTTCTCAACTCCATGGATTCTCCATGGTGAACTGGCCTTGGCACCTGCCTTGACCCTGGGAGGAGGCTCTGACCAGTTAGGCCTTCTAAGCACTGCCTGCTGGTTGGCAACAGAATGACAACTCCCAGGGAGGAGCTGGAGTAACCCAGAGCCGCCTCTTCCGCTGCCACCCTAGGAGGATTGCCTTTTGGCCCGAGCCCCATGCTCTTTCCCTGCCTGCTGACTACCCCCTGCATTGACACAGATGGACCCCAAATCCTGTCCTCTGGGGGCTGTGTTCGGCCTTCAAGAGGCTGCCCCCTGAAAGAGGTAACGGGGAGATGTGAGCGGGCATAGCAGTGCCCCTGAGTTGTAACTTTGGCTTCCTGTCCCCACCAGGCTCACCCACGACATCAGCCTGGAGGAGTTTGAGGATGAGGACCTCTCGGAGATCACTGATGAGTGTGGCATCAGCTTGCAGTGCAGAGACACCCTGTCCTTACGGGTAAGGGTGAGCTCCCAGGAGCTCCTGAGTGGGGTGGCAGGAAGACTAGGGACGGGGTAAGGGCATCCCCATATCGATAAAGGGGTTTCAGGTCTGTGCTGGCACCCTCATGAAATGAAATGATGTGCAAGAAACATAGGTATACTGCTTGGCATGTCTTGGGTGTACAATCAGAATTTTATTTATTATTATTATTATTATTACCGCTGTCGGGGACTAAGGCAGGAAGTAGCTCCTTCAGCTGCCCACAAGATGAGAGAGGTAGGAAGTCTTGAGACCTAGGGCATTAACAATTAGGACCAGACTTAAGGGAGACTCAGGGCTACCCTAAATCCTTTTGGGAGCAGCCCTGGAAAGGGCCTGAGGCAGACAGGGTGGAGTCTGGTAGAATCTGCAGTGCTTTGAGGCAGGAAGAAACAGCCAAGGCACTCCTGGAATAACTCCTGTGGCTGCTGGCTGCTATACACCAGACAGATGGCACTGCATGGCCTCCCAGACCGTCTCTGGCCCCTAGTCCTAAAGGCCCCCACTGAGGAGTTTGCCCAGCATTGCTGCTGGTTTGGGCCCTTGGCTTTGTCCTAGGGAAGATGACTGTCTCCTGTCCCTAAAGATCTGAATGCTGCCAGGAAGTCCCCAGCACCTGGGGAGCTGCGGTCAGATGGGGATCCCAACTATGTCTTTTCAGAACAGGAAGAAGGGGCTGGCTAGCCAGGAAATGGAGGACAGAGCACAGGGGTTGGTTTTAGAGCCCAGAGCTCCTCTGAGCCCCCAAGAGGGCAGGTAGCCAGATATGGTGTCAGGAGAGTGGTTACCATAGGAGCATGCATTATGCCTTGGGGAGGGGGTGCCTGTCTCTGTGTTGACCTCCTGCTACCCCCAGAGACTCAGTAAGCTCTGCCAGGCAAGAGGAAACCAAGGGGTGTGGATAACCCCCTAGTCCCCAGTACCCCAACCTTCCACTCTCCGGCCAGGCCAGGAAGAGGCAGAGGCCTCTAGATTTGGGGAATGGTCTCAGGGCCCTGACTTAGCTTCTCAAAGGTCAGGCACCTGTTCTGGACTCTCACCCTGCCCTCTCCCCCAGCTGCACTAGCAGAGCCTTGGAGAGGGTTGCCCCCCAGCTAGGCAGGGCCCCCAGGCACTACTGGCCAGAGGTGTGCCCCTGAGGGGCCTCAGACAAGCTCCAGCGGGCTTCACACACGTTCCAGTGAGTACTCAGCTCTCTTGGAGGTTGGGAGGCAGTAGTGTTGTCCCCACTCAACTGATGAGGGGCCTGAAGGGTCAGGGGATCTGTCCAAGGTGCCAGGGAGTTGGCGGCAGAACTGGAGCTAGGATGGGGCTCTGCATCTTCAAGGCAGACTCGTGGAGGGCCGATCTCGGGCTGGAGGGGCCTGGGCCGGCTGGCTTAGGACGGGGCTTCCACCGCCTTGGTTCGGGGGCCCCGCTCGCCCCTCCCCCTCGGCGTCCCCTTCCCATCCCTTTCAGGTCTCCGCCGTTCCTTGCCTGGCTGAGCCTCAGTTTTTCCCGTTTTCCTCAAGTCGCCTTCAAATACTATTTCCCCCGCCCCCATCCCTTGCCGCCCCCCCCCCCCGAACTCCTTGGCGACCACTGAGTCCCCATAGCAACAGCGGTGACTTCACTCTGGGCTCGGCTTACAACCCCAGTGAGGTCACCGGCCGTTGCCAGGGGAACGGGAGGGCGCAAGGAGTCCGGGGTGGGGACTGTGGGGAGGTGCAGGCAGTCAGAGGCACGGCTGGAGCCGGGAGGCGGCGGCCTCGCGCTTCCTAGCGGCCGGCGGGCGAGAGCGCCCCAGTCTCCAGCGGCCCCTGCTCCGCTCGCCTCGTGCCCCCTTCGCGCAGCAGAATGGACTCGCCCGGGAGGGGGGCGGTGCAAGCGGCCTCGGCCCCGCCCCGGCCCCGCCCCCTGACGCCCCTCCGTGCGCCACGCAGCCCCCGTGCGCCGGGCTGCTCTCTGCGGGCGGCGGCGGCGCGGGGAGCCGGTTGCAGGCCGAGATGCTGCAGATGGACCTGATCGACGCGGCGGGGGACACTCCCGGGGCCGAGGACGACGAGGAGGACGACGACGAGGAGCGCGCGAGGAGGACGACGTCGGGAGCGGGGCCGCCCAAGGCCGAGTCCGGCCAGGAGCCGGCGTCCCGCGGCCAGGGCCAGAGCCAAGGCCAGGGCCAGGGCCCGGGCAGCGGGGACACGTACCGGCCCAAGCGGCCCACCACGCTCAACCTCTTCCCGCAGGTGCCGCGGTCTCAGGTGAGGTGCCAACGCGGGGGGCGGCGCCCTGGGCCGCCGCGGAGATGTGAGGGGGAGCGCAGAGGGGCTGCAGCGGAAGGGGACACCCACGGGTCCAGTGTCTGGGGACAGCGCCTGCATAGAGGCCGCAGTGGCTTGCTCCCGGGGGTGGGATCCGAGCAGCGGGCAGAACCATCCTTAGGAAGAGGGCTAAGTCCAGCTGGCCGGGCTTGGAGCCTTGAGGCGGGATTGAAGGAGGAAAGGACTGGGGTTTGTAGAGGAGTAGGGAATTAAGAGAATGACGCTCTGAGGGGTTCGAAGGGTTTGGAGCGTGGGACCGCAGGCTGTGGCAGGGTTTCTCCTTTAGGGTATGGGGTTCCTGATGAAAGCGGGGTAGAAGCAGGGCCTGGAGAAAAGGGCATCCGAAGTGGTCATCGTCGGGGAGGCCATGGGAGATTGTGGCGAGGTGGGGATGGGGAGCTCAGGGGCCACAGGCCGTTTGAGATCTGGGCAGCTGGGGATTCCCGGAAGGCAGGGGAGAGGAATGGGGTATGGAGCTGCTTGGCTAAGTTGGGGGCCTAGGGCCCCTGGGAGGGTGGCTGGATGCCAAGGAGAGTTGAATAGGGTTGGGGGAGCCGGCTGTGGCCCTTTGTCTTCCAGGCTCATCAGGAGAAGTGCAGGGAAGGAGCTCCTGGGAGGTGGGGCTGCTGGGGCTGCAGGGAAAGGCTTGGTCCCTTTCCCAGGATCCTGTGAATGGCTTTTGGCAGCCTGGCTCAGGAACGTGAGGGCTTGGGAGAGAGCTCCCAGGGGAGGGAGCCTCCGTGGAGTGGAGGGAGCCCTGTGTGGGCATTGTGGGGAGGGGTCCCGGGGCTGAGAATGTAGAATGGGCAGCCCGGGATACCCAGGAAGGAGGGCTGCTGACAACTGCATCTGTCAGTCCTCAGTCACGTGCCACTGTGGTGCGGGGTGCAGGAAAACTCTGTTATGGATTTGTCACTGGGATGATTCATCCCTGTCCCCCAGGCCAGCTGCTGGGGAGACCCTTCCTTGTGCTTTTTCCAGGCTCTACCAGAAGGTTCCCACCCCTTCTAGGCCATAACTTCCCAAGCTCCAGAGCAGAGAATCACCTGTCTCTGACTTGGGCTGGATTTGAGCATTTTCCAAGTAACCCTCAGTGTCTGGGACTGGGTATCTGACTGTGTCTCCAGAGAGCTCCTGCTTCTCTTCTCCCCCACCTCCTACCCCTCTTGCCACCACACACATTGACCATCACCACCTTTGTTAAGGGTGATAAGAGCATCTCCCTGAGGGTTGACCAGCTTCCCTGAGCAAGGCGGAAGGCCATCCGGAGCCAGCAAGCCTGGCTGTGACTTGCCACCCTTCCTGCCTGCTCCAGAGGAGAGTTGGGAGTGAGGCCTTTGACAGTGGAGGCGGGGTGAACACAGCAAACGGCCCTAGGGATGGCCTGAGGGGGCAGGGCCGGGGCCTCCCTGTGCCGGGCACTGTTGACCACTTCCATCACAAGAGCCTTTTGTTCCCCGCACAGGACACACTGAATAATAATTCTCTGGGCAAAAAGCACAGTTGGCAGGATCGGGTGTCTCGATCATCTTCACCCCTGAAGACAGGTAAGTCAGGGCCCTTTTCCTTACCTGGACCTCCGCCTGCCCTGACTCAGTCCCCACTGCAGAGAGCAAACCCTGCAGTCTCCAAAGGGCTGAGTAGAGGTAAACTGTCCACCCACATCCCTGCACAAGCCCATCCAGGGGGTGAGATCAGTGGTAGCGTGAGGGAGTTGACTGGCCCCAGAGAGGCTTTGTCTTGGTTTCTGTGTCACCAAGCTGAGAGTGGCGGGTGCAGGCAGCTGGGAGTTGGGAGAGAACCCCTGCCTTCATGACCTGCCTGCTCTCCAGGGGAGCAGACGCCGCCACATGAACACATCTGCCTGAGCGATGAGCTGCCCCCCCAGAGCAGCCCCGCCCCCACCACAGACCGGGGCACCTCCACCGACAGCCCTTGCCGCCGCAGCACAGCCACCCAGATGGCACCTCCGGGGGGTCCCCCTGCTGCCCCGCCTGGGGGTCGGGGCCACTCGCATCGAGACCGAATCCACTACCAGGCCGATGTGCGACTAGAGGCCACTGAGGAGATCTACCTGACCCCAGTGCAGAGGCCCCCAGACCCTGCAGAGCCCACCTCCGCCTTCCTGCCGCCCACTGAGAGCCGGATGTCGGTCAGCTCCGATCCAGACCCTGCTGCCTACCCCTCCACGGCAGGGCGGCCACACCCCTCCATCAGTGAAGAGGAGGAGGGCTTTGACTGCCTGTCGTCCCCAGAGCGGGCTGAGCCCCCAGGCGGAGGGTGGCGGGGGAGCCTGGGGGAGCCGCCGCCACCTCCACGGGCATCTCTGAGCTCGGACACCAGCGCCCTGTCCTACGACTCGGTCAAGTACACGCTGGTGGTGGATGAGCACGCACAGCTGGAGCTGGTGAGCCTGCGGCCGTGCTTCGGAGACTACAGTGACGAGAGTGACTCGGCCACCGTCTATGACAACTGTGCCTCTGTCTCCTCGCCCTATGAGTCGGCCATCGGAGAGGAATATGAGGAGGCCCCCCGGCCCCAGCCCCCTGCCTGCCTCTCCGAGGATTCCACGCCTGACGAACCCGACGTCCATTTCTCCAAGAAGTTCCTGAATGTCTTCATGAGTGGCCGCTCCCGCTCCTCCAGTGAGTCAGCAAGGGGAAGCAGTTGGGGGGTGGGGGTTCCCTAGCGGGACAGAGCCAAAATGCGAAGTGTTCTGGGAGGCGACCCCAGGCCCCATCTGGTTAGGACTGAGGCTTCTACCTGCCCCGCTAAACCTGGATCAGAGCTGCGACCTCCCATCCAGCCATACCCCCTCACCTGCAGGTGCCGAGTCCTTCGGGCTGTTCTCCTGCATCATCAATGGGGAGGAGCAGGAGCAGACCCACCGGGCCATATTCAGGTGAGAGCCATGGGCTGGCTGGGCCTGGCCACGCAGCAGTTTGGGCCACACACCACCCTCCATTTGTCACCCCTACATGGCCTCAGCCTAACCCCTGCCATCAGCATTCGTTGATCCACTCAGCCCTGGGAGGACAGTGTCCACTCTCTAGGGACTCAGAGTATGGTGACAAAGAGGATGGCTACGGTGAGGGATCCCAGGACTGCGCACCTAGTCTGGTCGGGGGCAGGGCACCCAGGAGGGTGACCAAGAGGATGCCTGCCCACACCCCACCTGACCCTTCTCTAGACAAAAGCCTGCGCTTCCCACAGCCTCTCCATTTTAGAGGGTCCCTGCCCGCACCCTCCCTTGGCCTGTGTTTCCTCAATGGCAGACGCATGTTTGCTTGACCTTGCTCTCCCCTGGGGTTAGCACTGCCACAGGCACACAGGATGCTTTTGCAAATGTTTACTGAAATGACGATGCTGCTGTGGCTCCCAGACCGCAGAGTAGGCCTGGCCGGACAGGCCCTGGTGCCGAATTTCTCACCTGTCCTTGCTGGGGACAGGTTTGTGCCTCGACACGAAGACGAACTTGAGCTGGAAGTGGATGACCCTCTGCTAGTGGAGCTCCAGGCTGAAGACTACTGGTACGAGGCCTACAACATGCGCACCGGTGCCCGGGGCGTCTTTCCTGCCTATTACGCCATCGAGGTCACCAAGGAGCCCGAGCACATGGCAGGTAGCGTTCCCTGCCTGGCCTGTGCCCCCAGCCACCACATCTGTCTGCCCCGACTTGCTGCTGGGTGAACGTGTACTCCAGATCTTAGCCAGACAGGTGGGGGGCTGAGTGGAGGTGATTTTAGGTCCTTTTCACGATCGAGCAAAGTGAGGCCCGGCCAAGTTGGGCAGCCAGGGATTGTGGCAGCCTGTGTGGGCTCTGCCATTCCCTGTGCCTTACCCGCCCTCCTTCGCTTGGCTGCTCAGCTCCCTCCTGCTGTTTCTGCCCCTCCTCAATTCACACTTGCTTTCCAGCCCTGGCCAAAAACAGTGACTGGGTGGACCAGTTCCGGGTGAAGTTCCTGGGCTCAGTCCAGGTTCCCTATCACAAGGGCAATGACGTCCTCTGTGCCGCTATGCAAAAGGTACCTGAGTCCTCTCCCTTCTCCTCCCTTGGATGCTCCCTGGGGCAGAGGAATACAGGTTTCTAGAGGCAGTAAAGGCCTCAGGGCTCAGGCCCTGGGACAGGAGGGATCAGCAGAGGAACAGACAGCAGCTGACGTGGCTCCGTGTGTCACCTATAGATTGCCACCACCCGCCGGCTCACCGTGCACTTTAACCCACCCTCCAGCTGCGTCCTGGAGATCAGCGTGCGGGGCGTGAAGATAGGCGTCAAGGCCGATGACTCCCAGGAGGCCAAGGTGACTCCTCCCAACCCAGCCCCTTCCTTCCATGGCCCCCAGCTTTCCCCCAAGACTTGGAGTGAAGAGGCCGTCTCCTCTCACCCTCATTGCAGGCCAGGTGACCGCCCTCTTGCTTCTTTTCTCCCTCCTGTAGGGGAATAAATGTAGCCACTTTTTCCAGTTAAAAAACATCTCTTTCTGTGGATATCATCCAAAGAACAACAAGTAAGTGGGGGTGGGATGGCAGTGGAGGAGGCACGGGTGGTCTGCAGCCTTCAGGTGGTTGGGTGTGGGCCGAGCCCCTGTCCCAGCACAGACAGACCTGTCCCTGCAGGTACTTTGGGTTCATCACCAAGCACCCCGCCGACCACCGGTTTGCCTGCCATGTCTTTGTGTCTGAAGACTCCACCAAAGCCCTGGCAGAGTCCGTGGGGTACGTGTGCATCCTGCTGAGCACCCAGCCCGAGGGAGCACACCTCATCCCAGGCCCTAGGGCTGCTTCCTGGCGCTCAGCTTTGCCCCTTGGTTTCCCCCGCAGCTCTGGAGAACCATCTCCAGACCCCAGTGCAGTGGCCTGGAGGGAGGGTGGCAGGGCAGGGCGAGCCTGAGGAGTGGCTTCCAGGCTTGGTAGCTGCTGAGCCACGTCTTCAGCTGACATCTTACTGGGAAATGCAATGGCAATTCTGTAGAGAACAGAGCCAAGTGGCCCCGGCCAGAGGAACCAGAGCTGCATTCAGGCCCCAAGGCTCCGGTGGGAAAACCCTGGGTCGGGATCCCATTCCTCCCTTGCCAGTGGCGGTCTGAGCCATCTGTGTGTCCCCTGGCTTCTAGGAGAGCATTCCAGCAGTTCTACAAGCAGTTTGTGGAGTACACCTGCCCCACAGAAGATATCTACCTGGAGTAGCCGTGCAGCCCCGCCCTCTGCATCCCCCGGCCCTCAGGCCAGTGCCAGGACAGCTGGCTGCTGACAGGATGTGGCACTGCTTGAGGAGGGGCACCTGCTACCACCAGGGGATGAGGAAGTGGGGGCTGCTGGCCCAGGGTAGGGGAGGGTGGGGCAATGGGGAGAAGCAAATGCGGTTTATTGTAATATATGGGATTAGATTCATCTATGGAGGGCAGAGTGGGCTGCCTGGGGATTGGGAGGGGCAGGGCTTGGGGGGCAGGCCTCTGGCAGAGAAGGATGTCCGTTCCAGGAGCACACGGCCCTGCCCCATCCTGGGCCTTACCTCCCCTGCCAGGGCTCGGGCGCTCTGGCTCCTGCCTTGATGAAGCCCGTGTCCTGCCTTGATGAAGCCTGTGCCACCTGCAAGTGCCCACCCTGCCCCTGCCCCAACCCCCACCGAAAAGCCGTGAGCTCAGGCTGAGCCCAGCCACCTCCCAAGGACTTTCCAGTGAGGAAATGGCAACACGTGGAGGTGAAGACCCCGTTCTCAGCTCCGTCATTTGCGGGACTTTGGGTGGCTCCTGCCACTGACCTCACCGGCATGCTGGCCTGTGGCAGGCCTAGGACCTCAGTGGGGAGGAGGAGCTGCCGCAAGGCCCTGTCCCAGCAGGAGGGAGGCTTCCTGACTGACACAGGCCAGCCCCATCTTGGTCCTGTCACCCTGGCCCCAACTATTAAAGTGCCATTTCCTGTCTGGACTGCAGTGGATGTATCTGTATGGACCCCTCCTGTCCCCATCTCACTCCCAGCCCAGGAAAGCCAAGCCTTTGTCATGTGTAGTATCTTTATGGGGGCCTTGGGTCATAGGTGTGCGTCGTAGTAATACTCAGCAAGGTCGGGCCCATCCCGCTTGCGCTGCTGGGCCCGGGACAGGCGGGGTCGAGGCCCTCGCGGCCACGGGTGCTTGGGGAGGATGCCATAGTCTAGAGAGAGAAAGGAGGGCATGGGTGGGAGGGGCAGCTGGCACCCTTGAACATATGTGGTTTGGGATGACAAGCCCCTGAAGGCTGGACTTGGGGCACCCCTTAGGGGAGTCTCCACTGTCAGGGAGGGGCAGGGGAAGGGGAAGGGGACGAGAGATACTACCATCCACCAGGCCGGAGAGTGGCTGTGAGAGTTCCAGGGGTGCGGAAAATGCCTCAGGAACAGACTGCTGAGACCTGTGGGAGAGGTTGGGGTGCTCGGCCCTGGCCCAGAAAGCCACCACCACCTCCTTGTGAATGGGGGGATGGCCCAGTGTGGGGGCACTTGGCAAGCCCTCCAACACCCAGGGTACCAGGGCCAGCCAGCCCCACTCCAGAGAGGGGAGGGGCAGCACCTCTGCCATCCAGCCCGAGTGCCCTGCCCCTCCGTGCCCCAGGAGTTACCTCAGAGGCTGGGAGTGAAGCAGTGCCACTGCCAGGATAAGGTGGAGGAAGAGGCTGAGCCCAGCCCGGGGGTGCAGAGCCCCCAGCATGGCGAGAACCATCTCCTACACAGGTCCCAGCTCCTGTCGTCCCTCTCCTGGCAGGACGGAACCTGTTGCCAGTTCCCAGGGCCACCTCACAAAGGGCCTTCATTCCAGGCTCGCGTCAGCACCTGCAGGGCCAGCAACCTCCACCCTGAGGCTTTTGTTCTTATTGATGCTGTTGGCTAATAGGTGCCAAACCTGATCTTGTTCTAGTGTCGCTGCCCAGGGAATCAGGGCACACACTGTACAGTCAGATCTCAGCTGAGGTCCTGACCTTGCCTCTTGGTAGCCAGACAAGTCACTTCATCTCTGTGTGCCGGAGTTTCGTCATCTGTGATGTAGTCCATAACACACCCTACAGACACAGGCCCTCCGAAGAGGGCAGGGGCTCCTCACCACCCAGAGCCCCAGCCATTCAAACAGCCTCCCCAACTCCCGCTAGCATAGCAGGAGGTACGGGCAGGTCCTGCCAGCTGAGGAGCCCAGAGTGGGTCTTTCAGCTCTGCCCATCTCAGGGTCTACGTGAGAGGGAGTGTCCAGGCTCCCCATGTCCCCGGCTCAGGACCTCTCTCTCTCTCGGCTGCCTGCAGCTTAGAGCGGCCTGAGGCTAGATGGATGGCTTCCAGACGGGTGGCAGAGCTCTGGACCTGCCCCTCAAATGCAGGCTTCAGGAGGGCAGGGACAGCTTTGTTCACTGGAATCTGCAGCCCTGGACCCCTGGTAGGCGCCCAGTGAGCACGTGCAGCTCGGCCCTGCACTGGACATCCTCCCCTCGCAGGCCTGGGCTCAGCTGCAGGTGCCACCAGAAGGCCTCTGGCTGGCTCCTGGTTCTCCACTCAGCAGCCAGGCTCAGTCCACTTATACCTGCAGTGCGAACCTGGCTCACCAGAACCACAGCAAGCCTTCAAAACAAAGTTCCTGGCCCCACCCCAGATCTGTAGTATCAGAACCTGAGGGGTGAGCCCAGGGCTCTGGAGCTTTGGTAATCCAGTTGCTTGAGACGGCCAACCTGCTGGCTGGCCTAGCCGCTCTCCTCTGACGGCCGAGGGCCCCAGGGAGAGAAGTCCCTTGCTTCCAACCCTGGCTCCTCCAGTGGCCTCATTCATGCTCCTGGTCCTGAGAACCCAAGGCTGACAAGTTCTTGGGGTTCCTTCAGCCCAGTCACCCCCTGCATGTTGTCCCTGCACTCACTTCCCAGCGGCCACCTCCCTTTGTAAGTCCTGGAGACAACACGTCTCCACGAGCCTGCCTCAGCATCCTGTGCACACCAAGGCTCGCTCTGCCAGGAACCTGGAATTCTGTCCACTCTGCCTAACCCCAAAGTCCCTCGTCCTTTCTGCTCCTCGTCTCCTAGACACCATCTTCCTCCTCCACGCCAGCCCCCAACACTAGCTGGGGTTACCCCAATCTCCCTCTCTCTGCTGCCACTGCCATTGCCCCTCCCACTGCTACAGACCACTGCCTCCAATGTCACGGCCCCCATTCTTCCACCTCTGCCCGCCAAAGCATCCTCCACCAGGCTGCTGGAATTTTTACAACACAGGCCCCTCCCTGCCTACCACAGACCAGGTCCAAGTTTCTTCCCTGGGCATGTGATGCTGTGTTCAGCTTGGCCCTGACCTTCCCCTCCAGCCTTCAGCTCCCACCTCCCAAGGCTACACACAGCCGTGACCCCGGGCACACAGCCGCCCCTTGCAGGCTGCCTATCGAAAAACTGGACAGTTCTACCGGCTTCAAGCCTGCCTGAGTCAAGGCTTCGCCAATGGAGCCTGATGAAACCCTTCACCTCTGTCACCACTGCAGGCAGGCAGTTGCCACTACCGGGCCACCCCCAAGCTAGACCCCACTCTAGACATGCCACCTCCTCCCAAGCCCCCAGTGTGGCACCTGCATCCACGTGCCTGTCTCCTCTGTTGGTGAGAGGCGGAGGACAGGGGTCCGTGCTTCACTGCTGGTTTCTGATGGCTGGGCATGTGCCCAGAAACGCCTGTTCCACTAAGCTGGAGACCATGGGAGCCCAGGCAGCCCCTGTGGGTGAGGGCCTGGGGGGCGCTCCTCAGAGGGCCCTGAGGAAAGCAGCGTGTCTGGGAGGAGCTGAGGCATGGAGGACCCAGGTGCAGATGGAGCCCTCTCTGTGGGTTTGAAACTCTAGCAGGAGAGGCTGGCTCTTCACAGGGCCAGTGGCTGAGGACAGGCTAAGGTCAGGGAGAAGAGCAGCCTGCAGCCCACCCCGTCCAGGCCCTCCCCCATAGCAGCTTACATGGCTCCAAGTGGACCCGACCTCTGGAGCCTGTAGGGCGAGTGTGGGGAACCCCCGCTCATACCCCCTGAACTGGCCCTGGCTTCCTCCCCAAGCCCGTCCAGCTCCCACTTCCTCCCCAGTACTGGCCGGTGCCGGACATCCTTTTTCTAAGGAAGAAAAGCCTTTTACTCTCAACCAAGGATGCAGGGCTTGAAGTGCCACTTGCGTGGGAGCCAGGCTCACTGTTCACCAGGCTCTGTCATAGGGAGGCTGACAACACCATGGCCTTGGGCTGCCAGAGCCACACGGCCCTGCAGAGCAGGGGCAGGCAGAGGGCCCCGGCCATAAGACACGCTGGGCAGCGTTCGGGCATCACCCAGGTTCAGCCTTCCTGCCCTCACCAGGGGCCAGCGAGAGAGCAGCAGTGTTCGCTCCTGTGGCTGCCGAGGCAAGCGGCTTCCCAGGCTCCATGAGGTGAAGTTACCGCTTTCTGTGGGAGAGGAGGCTGGATTCCACTCCTAGTGAAGGCTTCTTGGCCCAGCAGTGACAAGGTGCGGGTTGCAGTGGCATCGTCACAGGAGGGCGCAGTCAAGAGGGTCCCGGGAAGAACGCTGGTGGCGACCAGGGCTGTGTGCAGGGCCTGGCCGGTAGGCACGGAAAGGCCGCACGCTGGGACGCTGCTGGAGTCAGTTTTATTAGGGAAGGGGGCCCCCTGCCCCACCCCTCCCCACACCCTCCTTCCGGGAGGTCTGTCAGCCCCAACTGTAGAAGTAGATTTTCTGCCAGGTGGGCAAGTAATCCATGAGCGGCCCTGCAGTGGGAGAGGGACACGTCAGGGCGGGCCAGACCCCAATCTGCGCTGTGGCGCCACATACAGCACCTCACCCCTGCGGCCCAGGAGCCCGGCTGGCTCTCTTGCCCTGCCCCTAGGGAGGCAGCATTGCAGGGGACTCTGGCACCATTTACAGACAAGGACCCTCAGGCCGAGGGAAGCTCAGCCAGGGTAGGCACTGAGGGGCCTGAGTCCGGTCCAGTCACCCAGTGCAAGCCCAGTGGGCCTCTGCTGAGGGAGGATCTCAGCAGCCCGGTGGACTGCTTCTCCACCACTGAATCCCCCCACGATGAGATGGTCCCGTATTGCTCCAGGATACTGTGACCAGAAAAAGGCTGGCAGCTGATGTGGTCTAACAGTCGCCCCACCACTGGACACCCTCCTTCCAGCCACCCCTGGCTCCTCAGGCCACCCTGGCTTTGGCCAGGGTAGTCCCACCCAATCCTGACTTCCCGACTTCCTCTCCTGACTGTGCCAAGAATCGAATTGCAAGGAGACACAGGAGTCAGGAAGATGGGGCACGCATGCGCCTCCCAGCACTACAGTCATCACGTCCCCGCCCCAGCTTACTTGTGACCAGGCCAACGCCAGGGATGTGGTCGGCCAGCAACTGGAGCAGGAAGAGGATCCTGGCCCTGGCGGAAGCAATAAATGGGGAGCAAGTTGAGTTGGGGGGGTCCCTGCAAACCAGGAGGCCCAGAGGCCTTCGCTTTTGAACGCAGCGCATTCCCAAAAACAAAGGTGACTTTTTTGGGAGCTAGGAGAGAGCCCGGTACACACGGGCGAGACCTCTGGGGTTGGCTCTGGCCTCCACGCCCTCCACCAGCTCAGCTTCGGGGTGGCCGCTGGCCCACAACACCTCCTCCCATTCCTCCTTTAACTTCCACCGACATCCAACACCAAAGGCCTCTGGAGGGTCATGTGTGGAGCAGCGCCCGGGCAGTATGGAGGCGGGTTCAGGGAAGACAACCCCACCCTGCCCTCGGGAAGCCCCCAATCTGGCAGAAGCGCTGGCCTGCATGGAAACCTCATAAGCCACCACCAAGAGCAGTCAGGACCCCGGGAGGAGACACAGTACTGAGGAGGGCACATTTTGGTTCAGGGGAAGGGCAAGGGCCAAGGCCCTGATTTTTAAGAGATGAGGGTTTTCCACAGGGGAACTCGGGTGAGAAGAGGATGCTGATGACAATACATAGTGCTAGGTGCTTACTACGCCCCACGCACTGCCGTATGCGTTAGTCACTGAACCTCCGAAAGTGGGTGCTGTCATTATGCCCACCTTACAGGTGAGGAAATGCGGCACAGGGCATCAAATAACTTGCCCAAGGCCACACATCTGGAAGGCAGCCTGGCTCCTTATGTGTCTGTCTGAGCAGCAAGAAAAGAGGAAGGCTGGCCGGGTGCAGTGGCTCACGCCTGTAATCCCAGCACTTTGGGAGGCCGAGGCGGGCGGACCACCTGTGGTCGGGAGTTTGAGATCAGCCTGACCAACATGGAGAAACCCCATCTCTACTAAAAAATACAAAATTAGCCAGGCATGGTGGCGCGTGCCTGTAATCCCAGCTACTCGGGAAGCTGAGGCAGGAGAATTGCTTGAACCCGGGAGGCGGAGGTTGCGGTGAGCCGAGATCACGCTGCCAGCCTGGGCAACAAGAGTGAAACTCCATCCCAAAAAACAAAAGAAAAGAGGAAGGCCGGCTGGGCGCAGTGGCTGTAATCCCAGCACTTTAGGAGGCCAAGGCAGGCCTTTGTTTCCCCAAAGGACAGGGAGCAGGGTCCAGAGAGATGCCAGGGTACAGTCCGGAAGGAGCAGCCTTAAGTTTTTTTTTTTTGTTTTAAAAAAAGAGACGGTGTCTTGCTCTGTCACCCAGACTGGAGTGCACTCACACGATCTCGGCTCACTGCAACCTCCGCCTCCTGGGTTCGAGCGATTCTCCTGCCTCAGCCTCCTGAGTAACTGGGACTA